CGAAGCCTTTGGCTCAATAGCCTGACCCACAAGGCAGTGGGGAGGAGATCCAGCTCGGGAACGTGATTGCAGAGACAGATTGAGATCTGGTCGCACGCAGCCTTGGAGGTACTGGAAGGATTTATAAGTGTTTTGCGACTGTAGTAGGATACACATGCGACCACGATCAGACGCAGGTGGGTTTTGGCGGGTTTGCACCAATTTGACTAGCGGCTGCCTCGCTTGAGGTGGGCAGTAGCAAACCGTTGAACACCCGGAGGTGCCTTCCCACCGTCAGAGACAAAACGTGGCGCTCGTGCACTGTGCCAATCGAGTTGTGAGTTGATAATCCATAGACCTGTTGTCTCCCATGGCTAGGTTTTACGGGAAGAGGGCCATCGACCACAGCCTAACCTCCGAAGAGGATGGATTAAGATACTGGCAAGGAGCCCACACCCGACAGGAGAACGACTCGAGTTGTCTGCCAAAGCGTTCAATAAAAGGTACACCCGAAAAACAGCGGGTATCGCTCATGATCAGTACACTAACTCATGCGGATTGGCGTCCTGGATCTTAGCGGGTAGAAGAACGCAACCCTACTCCCACACAGCGGTCGCCACGAGGCGTCCAGGACAAGAGCCCATGGAACTTTGACTGTCTCTTGAACAACCGTTCAGAGATCGACTGGCCTACATTGAACAGCCTCAAGCAGCACGAGGTGAAGGCGAATCTGGCGGACACGCCGACACTGGATGAGACGCAGAGAGCACTAGCTCAGCTGCGAAACGGCAAGTGTGCTGAGGCCGACGGGACCTCGGTGAAAATATTGAAACACAAAGGACACGCGTTGGTGAATGCGCCGCACCACTTAGTGCAACGCGTGTACATTGAGGAGTATGTGCCTGCTGAACTGATGTATACCCTTGTGCTACCACTGTACAACGGCAAAGGTAGCAAGCAATGTTGCACGAATTATTGTGGCATCAAGTTGATGAGTTGTGTGGGCAAAGTGATTGCCCGAATCCTGCTCAACCGCCTCGTCAGTCAGGTTTTGGAACCGAACGTGGCGGAAGAGCAGTGTGGATTCCCTTCGGGTCGCAGCACCATCGATGTGGTGTTTTTGGCTCGTCAGTTGTAAGAAAAGTACAGAGAACGATACCAGCCATCGTGGTCGTTGTTTGTTGATTTCACCAAGGCACTTGATACGGTGAACCGCGAGGCACTGGGTCTGGTGTTGGGTAAGTTTGGTTGCCCGCGTAAGTTTGTAAGTTTAATTGAATGTCTGCACAGTGGTATGCGGGCGAGTGTGCAGCTGAGTGGAGAGACCACGGATAACTTTGCAGTTATCTCTGGTGTGCAGCAAGGCTGTCTTAGTTCCTGCCCTGTTTATCTTTATGCCATGATGTCTTGTGCTTCCGGTGTTCGTGTGGAGTACCGTATTGATGGTGGGTTGCTGAACATCCGTCGTTTCGGTGCGAGAACTCTAGTCTGTGAGATAACTATCCGTATGTTCCTGGTGCATGTGCGTTGTTTGCACACAGGGCGGATGAGTTGCAGCACATGACTAGTGCTCTGGCTTCGACAGCGGCCAAATTCGGGATCATCGGCAACACAAGCAAAACTGTCTATCCCTTTCCGCCTTCACCGAAGGTGCAATCTACAATGGTGCTGCTAATCAGCATTGGTGCTGAAGTATTGGAAACCACCTCCTGCTTCTACTGCCTTGGGAGTGTGATGTCGACTGATCAGCAGCTACACAATGAGCTGCGTATCCGCGTGTCGAAGGCAGCGGCGGCATTCAATAACCTTGAGTACCCAGTGTGGAACAACCATCAGCTTACCACTGGCACGAAGCTGATGGTGTACAAATCCATGGTGCTGTCCTTTCTTCCTATACGGCAGCGAAGAGTGTACGATATAACGGCGAGATGTGCGACATCTCGAGCGGTTCCATCAGCAAGGTTTGCGACGGATTCTGCGCATCAAATGGTGCGATAGAGTTGCAGACACGAAGGTGTTGCGCCGAAGCGGAATGTATGCAGTGGACTGCATACTTTTGCTGAGACACCTGAGGTGGCTCGGTCATGTGTGGCGTATGGATTCGACGCGGATATCGAAACAACTATAATATGGTCAGCTGAGTTTGGGGAAGCGGCATGCGGGGAAATCGAAGCTTCGTTAACAGGACATGATCAAAGTGAGCCTCTTATGTTGTAATCTTGATTTCAGACTATGTGAATCGAAGGCGGTTGATCGGCGTGCATGGCGCGATATGATCAAGAAAGTCGTTGCCGAGATGCAGGAGAAAAATCTCGTGCATGCAGAGAAGAAGCGGTAAGTGCGGAAGCGGCAGGCTCCGATGGGTTGTACTCCATCGACATCGAGCGTATGGTGCTGTAGCACATGGGGTCGCGGGTGCCTGAGTGAGGCAGGCCTAGTGAGTCATGAGCGAAGCCGCTCGAGGTCAACACTGAAAGGACGACGGATCCTGCTGAGAATGTAAGCAGAACCGGTGCAGCGTTTGTAGGTATGCTGTATTCGATTTACTATCTGCAAGCTTGCATTATGGATCATTTTATTTCAGGTGGCGGGTTTGCTATATTGTCTCATTAATGTCTACGTGAACTATCTTCAATGAACTTGCACACGTCGCTCAAGTTAATTGCAATTAACTTTGATAACTTTTCGCGTTTGTGATATTTTCACAAAATATATTTTCTCACGTCCTGAACCTATAGTGGATTTTTTGGAGACGCATTTATTTCATATGCTCATGTATTGAAAAGTTATGTCACCGTAACTGCATACACTATTCAATTTATGTTAATTGATCTCATCGCTTCAAGTGATTGGCTATTGCTTGATATCCCCGCTGTGGCTGCGCTTGGTGTGCAAGTTGACAAGGTGCCTACCCGTCTATTACCCACTACATCGTCCATACTGGCTGCAGGAGACAGTTGGTCGTTGCTGGAGGGGACGGAGTGCACGGTCCTTGTGGCCGTGTTAGTGTCAAAGAGTGGTTCCATGCACTCAGTGTGGAGCGGACTACGGTCCAGCCACCGCCTTGCGTGCGTTTGATTCCCAAATACAGCGTGATTATGTTTGCCTGTGAAGGAGTGTGGGCCCGCTCCATTGATGAAACGTGGCTCCCATCCACATGCCTCCCGGTCTTATTCCTTCGGGTTTACACTGGATATGGGGTGTGTGGATGGAGCTGTGGGTGGTGCAGCGCAAGCCACCCATGGTACCTCTGTAGGCGCAGGCGTCCTGTGGCTGGCCACAGTGAGAGGCAAATCCGTAACCGGAAGCTGCCAAGCATATATTGAAGATAAAACAATAGCTGATGAAGGTGAACACACTTAAACCAGGTTGTTACACGTCGACACTGAGTTGAGTAATTCAAATAGCTGTACCGCGAGTCGGCCATCGGAGTTGTTAGCTGAGTTCCCTGAATGCAATACGCTCGTTAATGACAAAGTTCGAAGTGAACAGGTTCTACTCAAGCTGATTAAGATGTTCGAGCCTGACAGCTTTCCTTCATCGTTGCTGAAGAACGGCGGCGAAGCATTGGCAATTTTAGTAACAGCCCTGCTCGACAGGTCTTGGTGAAATGTGACGACGATTTTAAAGTGCAGATTGGCATTGTCATTTTAAAGAAACAGCAAACGAAATGTAGTGAAAAAATCACCTGTTATCCGTCGTGACAGCGTTACGTCCAAAGCAATAGTTTCTATTGCACTCAAATGTGGAATTAGTGGAGAGGATACCGGCTCACTTCTAGATAGAATTTCAAGTTTTATGCATCGCTAGGTGCCTGAAAAGCACCTTGCATACACAACAACATGAACCAATTTGAATCGAAGATTGCGGTTGAAATAAACAAACTCACAGTTGATTTATTTGGAGGCACTGCGCGGGATAAACCTATTTCGGAGGCACTGTTAATTAAAATCCGGTCCACAAGAAAGTGACAGGTGGCGGATAGACTTCAGATTCATCGAGTGAATACAGACAACGATCGAGGAGCAGATGAACGTGAGAGTCTTAAGTCAACGACAAGCAGATACTTCACACAAAATAGAAGGCTGATCTGTAGTCACAGCTTAGCTGTCTGTCCCCTATGATCCAGTAACGCTACTTCCGTCTAACTGCGTGCACCTAGAATTTGCTATGACTTTTTAGCTTTAGTGATGGCGCTCATTATAAACATGATTTTTTTAACCGATGTTGCTCGGAAAGCAGGCCTTAACGGAAGCTTCAGGGAGACATACATAAATAAAGTGCAGAAAAGTGGAAGATCGCCGAACAAAGTTGTGGGTAAAATAACAGATAGAATTTGATATCATAAGGGTAGGGTGACCGTGCTTGCTTTAATACTGAGGTGGCAAATTGTAACTGCGTACAAAGCGATTGGATTTGTGTAGATGCTGCAAAATAGCAAGCATGTATCAACACGCGGTAAAGATTAGAGCCCGGAGGGAACGAGTTTACTTATAACATGAGCTGCGGTAGAAGAAAAGCAAGTTTGCATGAAAGCAAAGCGACACAACGACAGCTACAAAGAGCAATGGGGCCAAGAAGCGAAAAAATAGCTTTGGCAAATAAGTAGTGGTGCCACTTAGTAGCCCAAAGTGGAGATGATTCTATGTATACACAGATCACACAGTTGTATAATGCAGCGGGTCTGGAATCTCTGATAAATGTGAGAGCAAGGAGACGGATCCAACCACAGACGGGTACATACACACATACACACACACACACACACACCGAATAGTGGATCATCGAGCGAACCAGCTGGGAACCTTTCCAGACAGCGGCCCCGATGAAGATGGGACAGATACAGAACTGGGACCCGAAGCTGAAGAGTCTAGATCCCCGGAGGCTTCAGCATATTCAGAAGGACGCTTTGCCTTGAACAAATCAGGAAATTCGAAGGAAGAACCCGGTGCCTGAGATAATAAAAATTAAAAAGATTAGAAAAATTCTAGCTAATGGCAAAGATTGATCCTCATTGGGACGATAAGGTGTTGGGAATGGCATCATTAATGCTGGGATGTAAAAGGTAGTTTAGGGAGAATCATCTGGGTGCAAAAGTTCGTGCATGAACTCCTGGCTAGAAGTTGGAAGATGTTAGAGCCGGGGCGGAACAAATCGAAATCGAAGGGGAATTGTTGCAGGTGTGATCTGCCGCCACTCAAATACGGCCGTTATAAACTAACGGAGTACAAGATAGCTAGGAATTGAGCAGGTATGTGAGGCTTGATTATAGCGCTCAAATCGGGGGCACGTGGCTCACTAATCAGAAAATGCAGCCCATGTCCTGCGAGCTACGGAAGGCAGGTAAATAGCGAATTATCCAGCACGCAGAAATGTATACAAAAGACATTTGATCTATGAGTCCTGAGTTTCGTCTGATGGATACGTAACTTGGGGCAAATTTCATCAGCGGGAAGAAGGTAACGACGTCCGCTATACTTGAGCAGTTTACCTACTTCGGAGGGTGACAGAGTTGGAGCTATTTGAAGCGGTTCGCTGACTGGCTGCAACCATGGTGGTACCGTGATTGGAAAGCAGCGAATGATGTTAATGTTGCTTTCGCTTTCAAAACCACCGATGAGTCGGGGCCGAAAGTACTATACCAGTTTCGTACTGAAAAGCATCCGTGAAGATGGACTGCAAGTGAAACGAGACTAGAAGGATGGCCAATCATTCCGACTGGTTAGCAATGCGATCAATGATGGTCGGTTAATGGCCGAAAGTAGACGGCCTCTATCTTGCAACCCGGATGTCACCGTTTCGAATTCGCGTAGGAGACCGGGCGACTCTGGTAGGATCCTTAGCCCACGCGAAACTGGTGGTGGTTGTGTGGCAGAGAAACGTCGGTACGACGTACAGCTGATGTCTTTTTCTTTACCACGAGGGCCAGATTTCTCAGCAGAAAGCTTTCTAGTGAGAAATTATTCGCTTGATGCAGCCATATTTAACGTGGAGTAATAATGACTGGTTCATGACGATTAATGTTTTCTGAAGATTGCATATTCTGATGAAAATGATTCGGACATATAGTATTAATAAACCAGAACATGCCATGTGTAATTGAAATGTTGTGTTGTTGTTGCGGGAACTTGCCTTAAAGTATATCCGGGCTTTTCAAGGCAGTACTTATTTTGAGAGCTTAAGGCGAAGCTTTAAAGATCGATCATTCCTGAGGGCCATGAAATAAAGACCGTCTTCGATTCCGCCAACTGCAGTGGTTTCTTGAGCAGTTCACATCTGAAAAGTGAGCTGATAAATTACTCTTTGTCCTAAATCCTATGACCCCGGGACTTAGCAAGGGTGTACGAATCGTCTACCCCTCAAAAGCTGCACAATGAGTGGAGTTCACTGGAATTAATTGTGGACTCATTTTAACCTGACTGTTATAGATTAAAGCATGAGTGACTTCATCTTAGCCATTGTGACCGGGGTGGAAATACCGTTAAGTAGATAGCGGGGAAAGTAGAGTAAGCAGACGATACAGCTTTCAAAAGTGCAAAAACCAACAGCACTTTAGCGAGATACCCTGGATACAACTTATTTTGTGTATCCGAAAGGACGGACACAGTTGCCGTGCGGGAGATTCGAACGTCATGAAACAGTGCTGGTGCAATAGCAGACCGACAAATCCCGGTTCAGAGTCCCACTGGAAAAATCTGGAACTCATCGATTTGCTCAAGTAGTGAGTAGATAGGTGGATCATCCACGGCAGTGAAATCACCATGGAGGCCCCTGTGTTCCGATAAGACTCATGTAGTTTTCAAAAAATTGGACAACTCTAAAAGCGGAGTGGTAACAGCTTCGATGATGTATCAGAGACGTGGCCGCTGCGGGTTGAATGTAACAGTAGTACTTGTCTTTAGGCAACGAAGATGTTCGCATCTGGTGGGGCCGTCAAGTGAGAAATGTTCATGCCCCATAGTTTACGTTTGGTAACAACTTTTGAGGTAGTTTTGGAGCGTATGCTGAAGTTGAAGAGACTATACAGGACAAGACAGATTGTTTGTCAGCTGGCCGACGACTTGGCTTGTGCTATCTGCAAAAGGCGAAGGTGATTGCATGCAGGTTAGGGGTAACTAGTTGTCGACACAGGAATAATTTAGAGAAATTCACTGAAAAATTAGGTTGAGCAGGCGCACAGCCTCTCCACAGGTGGTGGATCATGAGCGACAATACTACTACGGAATACCGGTTAAGTGCACCAGTGGAAAAGATAATAGCAAGTTAACCTCTTGTTTCTAGATGTCAGATTTTTGATCCGACTGCTCGTCTACAGTTCACATTCCTTTGGAGAGTTGTTCGTACACAAGATTTTTCCAAATTTGCCCACAGACAGTATCACGGCGAAGCGGGTAATATCAAAAGTTCTTTGCCATCAAAGTCTCTCATCAAGTCATATTGCTTGGTTTCTCTGACGTCACTTAACGCAAGCACCCTAAGACGGATAGGCTATTGTCACCTGTACAATAACTGGATATTGTCGGTGTTGAAGTATGCCGCTTGTCCGAAACCAGTATCCACGATTCCCAATAAGCCAAATGTTTAGGTATGCCCATTCTACATCCTGGCCATTGGTAGCAAGCTTTCGATGACGCCGATTCAGCAGCTAAATACAAACATAAGGTGATTATAGTCCTCAGTTCCGGAGCTAACCCTCGACGGTTGACTAGATGGTTGTGAACAGTTGCCTGTGTGTAGCCCAGTTAATAAAGGTGTGGATAAGCACTAGGAGCTACCTGTTCGGGGCTGTCCTCTATGATTTAATGGATTGCAGTGCTGATACTGCCAAAGTATTCTGAGATAAACAGCGTGCTACTATGAAGTGCGACCGGTAAGGTTATACGTCTAAATACAAGGGATGTTGATGATGCAGTTGCAAGGATCGTAAGCATACCTTGTAATCCGAGCGCGTGGATTCGAGCCTGCGCAGGGATCGAACAACCGTCGCAGTTTCCTTAGCTCACGTGTGACTGGTGGTGGTCACGCGGCAGCGAAGCGCATTGTCGATCGAAATGCTCCCCAACCCTGGAACGTTTGCTGTAAACGCTCCGTCACCAATCGAGGCCGGCTCATCAATGTGTTGCCGTGAAGCAGAATGCAGCGTTAGTGCCCGCAGATTAGTCGCGTGCGAATCGTTTTGAATATCGTCGGTTCATGTTTGGTTTGGTCGAAAGGCACATTGCCTTTGGAACTGATTTCTCCGATTTGTATCACGTGAGGTTTGCACGTGTGTTTCTGTAGATGATCATGCTGTCTGATATGTTTGCCCGGTGTGCTGTTCCAGTAAGCTCAGTCGATTAAGTCTGTGGTCTCTCCCTCGTAGGACTGCGTATATCGCTCCTAGTTCAACGAGTCCGTTTACTGAATTGGCTATGACATGTCACGTTTTCAAGAATTATCACACTCTTCGATCTGCTACGTAATTTGATCATTGTTTTTCGAATTGCAAAGTTCAACATAGATCAACAAAGAAAATGGGAACATGACCCGCAATGTGCCTATCGACCAAACTGAACATGAACTGAGGCCGCGGTCGCTCGATCAGACTATCAATCACGATATCATTTAAAGCGACAAACAAGCGACTACTCTATGCACACCTACTAACACTGCATGGTAACGCACAGATGTTTACCTCAATTGCTGACGAAACGTCTGCAACAAACTGCCAAGATGGGGAACACTTTAATCACCAACTAACCTGACTGCCAACCACTGACAGTATACCAATTAAGTAGGTTATCAAACGCTAGCAAAAGCCCGATGGTGTGGTATGTGCAGGCTATGGACATTGTGGACAATAACAGGTTTTTGTTATACATGAAAACCGAACACAAGCCGATTCTAAGTATCACTGCCTACAGACGTAGGGGTTGTCTATGTGCCGCTCGCCAAACGGCATAACCAAAGGCACTACCTGGGCAAGAGCATCAAATGGCACAGTCCCATCCTTGCCTGTTCTTGGTAGTGAGTTGGTACGCTGATACTCACTGAACTTGGTTGAATGAGTGCACAAAACGACCCCGTAAACTAAGGATTGATAACCTGTCGGCAATCGGTAACGTAAGTCTCGGTGGCCTGTTTTCACTTTATTGTCCAGAGAGCAACATCTTTCGGTTGAATACTGCCTCTATTTTGACGCAAGGAGCGGAATCTTCTTAATACAGAAGCATCAACTGTTATCGAAACAGAAACTGATGATCCTAAAGTGCGATGAAGTTGGTACAATTAAGTGAATTCCTTGTCAGTACGGAATACAATGCGGATAGACGGGTTATCAGTTTCAGTTACCATGTAGCCTTCAAAGTGACAGGAAAACCTGGTGAACTCAAACAGCTCAGGGGATGGATGAAGGTGGACAACTTCCACAGACTCCCCAAAGTGATTACTAGTTATCCAAGAAACCGATGTATCAGTGAAGTAACTAGCTGCAGCATTGACACCCCAATCAATAGTAGTAGGTAATACCGTACGGTTCATTGCTGTTTTGCAGCAAGTGCTGCAGGTGCAACCACGTTCACTTAGCCCAGATGTGACACCTTGAGTTGAAGTTCGAAAGATCAGTCTTTAGTCGTTTCCGTGCTGGTGGTCTGCATATTAGCATGCCTTCCACATAGAACTGACTCACATTTTCGCAGAGATATGAGGGGGCAATATGTAGGAGAAGCCGCATCGATTGTGATAAGTCCGGGATGATCAACTTGACGCTGGTGAAAACATTTTTAATTTTAACACTTAGTGCGGAACATGAATTCCGCATGAGAGGAGAACAAACAGATTTCCAACCGAGAGGGAGCTATTTGTATTGTGATTTCATCCCGAAGTAACGTCTAAATAACCTCACATGCACCCTACAGACGACTGCTGTTGTGTGTCGGCGTGTGGCCGAGTGGTCTGCGCGCCTGGTTTGCAA